TTGACCATGTTGCATCAGAAAAGAAACTTGCATCAGCTAACTAGGGCTCCTCCAGGCTTCGCGCCGGCTACCCATGAGCAGTTCCTTCTTCAATCAAAGAAATGTCCCTGATAGTTCCTGCAAAATCTGGTGAGGACTGGAGGTGGCATGAGGTCCTGGCGTCCAACCCTGTGAGTGCAAGTTGACCAACAATGTGGCAATGTCCTGCTGGACCAATGCCTAAGCCCTCCCAGGGGGAGAGAAGGAGGAGAGATTGAAGGGGATTTAAGGAGATTTATTTGGGGAAAGGAAAGATTAAAGGGATTTATGGAGACCCAGCCAAAGAAAAACTCAACAAGTTAACCCCTAAAATCCTCCCCTGAGAGGACACGAATATCCACCTGCCAAATCTAATTACTGTCCACTCAGCTGCCAAGTTTGAACCAGAAATTTCTACTCGAGACACAGTTTTCGTGAGCACCTCTGGCAACAAGCTCTAAACAGTGCCATTTCCCAGATCCCACCTGACTAATCAAAAAGGCCATGAGAGCTTGTTGTCTTTTTTGCACCTGAGAAAAACGTTCGGCTTTTCCTCTCCAAACACAAAACGCCCTGTCAAAGAAAGGAGCAGCAAAAGCAGTCAGTTCTCATTTATTATTTTTCACAGAACGTCTGGACTTTAAATTCCCAAATCAAGTGAGAGAGTCAGAGGTTACAGGTCCACCTGTCAACACGATCTAGCTCTTTCAATGGCTGATTCTAGGCAAAACCCAGTGTTTTCACAGAAGGTTAAGCAGCTCTTCCCACTGCTCGGACGGCCAGCCTATCACAACTTTCTCACAGTGACAGGAGAGGAGCTACCTCCAGAGCCCATCATTCCAGACGCAAGCTCGTAGAAAGAAAGTAGCCTTAAATCCAAGGGCCCCTCACAAGGGGAACCCAGAAGCCCAAAAGACGTGTGCTCATCATCCAAACTGCTTCCAAGAGCTTCCCAGAACATGGACGGCCCTGCTGTGCACACAGAGCACTTGCTTAGAAAATCTCTGGAAAAACTGACCGACAAATGGCCACAGCCTTCCAACCCTGGCGAATCTCACATCCCACACAATCCACCAGCAATTCCTATCGGCTCTCCCGTTCTCATGGGTCCAGAATCCAACCACATCTCATCACCTCCACAGCTGCCTCCCAGACCGACACCACCTATCTCTCTGCCCTGGGTTGTTTCCACCGCCTCTGAGCTGTCCTCCCGGCTTCTGCCCTTGAACCCGCCCGTCCATTCTCAACACAGCAACCACAGCCATAACGGAAAGACCCGAGTCAGGTCAAGGGAGGCCTCTGCTCAGAACTCTCCAGTGTTCCCCTTTTCTCTGAAAGTAAAAGCAATGTCTTGACTATGACCTACAACTTGGTGAACTCTGACCTCCACGCCCCCTCCCCCATCTGTCTCCCCTCAGCTCCCCATCTCCTCCCTGGTCACTCATTCTCAGCCACACCTGCCTCCTTGAAGCAGCGGGGCCTTAAAAACACCGGGCCTGCTCCCTCAGCCCTCGCTGCTCCCCGTGACTGAAACACTCTACCTCTAGCCATCTCCACGGCTCCTTCAGATCTGTATTCAGACAGCAGCTCTGGTTACCCTGCTTCAAACTGCCACACACACTCCCCCCTCACTCCAGAAAATTCCCTTTCCCGGCTTTATTTCTCTCCCTAATGGGAATACTATATAACACACTCGACATTTTCCCGATTCATATTTTTTTATTTTCTGGCTTCCTCTTCAGACTGTGAGCTCCAGGAAAGCCGGCATTTGTGTCTGTCTGTTCACTGCTCTCCCCCCCGGTGCCTAGAACATAGCAGGTGTTCAGTAGATATTTTTAAATGTACGAGAGGCTGAATTTATATCATGCCTCAAAGAAAGGACTGAGAAATGCAAACTTCGAACAAATACTGCAGCTGGGATACCCTCGGGGAGCTCTCCGGGGGCCTCCCACCCCTATTTTCCTCTTGGTAATATTCCTTCTAATGCTTCCCACAGACTCTACGATTTTGAGTAATCCCAGAATAAATACCTGTAAATCAGCCAGTCAAATACACAAACCAGCCCAGACAGACCTGCAACCTCCCCCTCTCCCCCTACATACATCCCCCCAAAAAAGAACACTGGAGTCGGCTTTCTCCCCAGGCTTGTAGATAAATCGATCATGTGTCCTCAACAGGTGTATCTACTTAGCAATTTCAGAACAAGGAGGGTAAGGAGGATACTAGTGGGGAAAGGCAATGCTGGACCCACAGAAATTTCTATTTATATTCTTCCTAAAGCAGCACCCAGCCGGCACTCATTTAATGAAAAAGAGGCAGCGCTGTGCCATAAGACTTCTGATTCTGCGCCGTGTCACTTTGCTACTAGCCTGGGCAAAAAAATGTCCCTCCAAATACGAATACACCCAAAAGCTCCTGAAGAGGGACAGTGAGGGCCTTCCTGCCACAGACGAGCC